TTATTTCTATTTTATTTTACTACTATTTTTTTAATAACGCTTACACCAAACAAGCTGCGGCTAATTACACATTTTACCTTAAAACTACCATCTTCACTTTTCATACTTACACTTCAAGCTTAATATATATAATGAATAAAGGCATTTGACCCATAAAACGATTAAAATTAGATTCCCCAAGGTATCAGAATCATTCTAATTGCAATCTGATTTATTGCCTAAAAAAGTTTATTAAAAGTTTCTAATTAATCAACATTTCATAAATTTATCCAAAAGATTATTTTACAGCATTCATGCAAACTAACAAAATTTTTTGTAATATAATCTTACCTGATGATAGGTTTTTCACGCATACATGAGCTATTCTCATCAAAACGTGAGTAGTTAAGTAAATCATATATTACGTAACTGTTGCCACAGCTTCATATTAGAACGCATGACGATTAAAATGAAAAGTTAAGTTAAAGTTTAAGTGAAAAAAGTTTTTTTCTTCCCCTGTGGTTCATTTGCCTGTTTTTTTCCCCTGTCTGAAATGACTCTATAGCTGTTTCGAACGGAGCTAGAACCGAGCACAAATATAACATCAGTCGTTCCCTGTGCGAGAAAAACTGCATTAATTTATTATTAATTAATTTATTTACTTATTTATTTATTTACTAGTGGGCTGCGCCTCCTGCTCGCTAACGCTCGCCAACCCCCGAAAATTGCTACGCAATCTTATATGGTTTGCTTCGCTCGCTACTAACTTAGGTACATTGCAAATGCACAAAATTCTAAGAATTCAAAACAATCATTCAAATCCATATAAAAACTTTTTTTTTTAGAAAAAATTTACATCTTTTTAGTAAATACTAAGTCATTAAAATAAATTTGAATTCAAATAAATGACATGTAATTCGTTAAACCTATTAGAAATGTGCTATAGTATAAAATCTTAAGATAAAATTTCTAAAACTGATATCTCTTTAAAAAGGTTAAAATTTTGGCTATAATTAAGTCTATTAAAAATTGAAATAAGTGAATTGCAATGGAAAAACCTGCATAAACAAATAAATTCTAGTAAAACAAATAAATTCGTGATATAAATCAAAAATCGTCAAATAAATTCGTAATATATAAATTCGTGAAAAAAAGCGCTTTCGACAAAATACTAAAATAGAGATCTATCGACAAAGACTACTCACTTCTGCCTAGCTTAATAGTATGAGATTGCCGCAGCTGATGCTCTCTGGTTATTTCAGTTTCCGTTTTTAAAAGCGCTATATGTTGAGCCACCTCAGCTAGATTTGGCATGTGACATTTTTAGCGACAATCATTGGTCGATTCGCCGTGTAAGAGAAATAGTAGCGTAAACAAAACAAAGCAAACGTTTCCACCGGCGGAAAAGAAATACAGCCAAAATTTGGGAGCCACGTGAGAGAATTATATATATTAGATTTATTTTGAATTTGATTCTCACCTACGATTTCTGAACTCGTACATAGACTCATGCCCCAATCCCCTTACTTTTATTTCTATGAAATATTTAGTCAAACAAAAACATCCTGGTATGATTTAAGATAAGTAGCTTATTTTATCAAATATACTTATTTAAGTATTATGAAAACGCTTTCGTTTAAATATTATTGCGTTTTAGAAGACAGTTGAAATAGTAACAAAATTTGATAAATACGGATTAGAAAAGTTCTTGTTTCTATTTCCTTGTTTCCATTTACTGGACTGTTTTTTTTCTAAATTTCTAATATTTCGCGAGAAATTCGAAGAAGAAAAAAAGTGTCTAAAATCTAAAGTGTTTATTAACATTACAGACTGAAACTGCAATTTGTACCGGGGAAAAAATAACCGAAGATATATAATGGCCCGCTATCTTTAAAATTTTTTTCCTCGTGAGAAAATGCATCTTGCACGAAATGTCTTACCTGTGCGGCCAGCTATGTATGTACTTCGATAAAAAAGGTGAAATTGACGATGTTGTTTTTACACCCCACCCTATGTACATTTAAGTCTTGAATTATCGAATCTTCTTCCTTCCAGAAAAATAAACATTCATCTAAACGACCGCCGAAAGAGCAGTGATATCTGAAACAACAGTTATCTATCTCTCCCCACCTTAGCTCAGGACCATTTACAAGCAAAATATCCGGATAGTTCGTTGTAAAGGAATCCGAAGTATGCGGGGTAAAGAAAATCTTTTCTTTTTAATGAGACGGTAGTGTGAGGACTTTGAATTCTTTCACTTCCTGTCCCATAAAACATTGGTTCTGAAATACATAGTATAAGAATAGAGAAAAGGAACAACTGTCTTTAAGGAAAGGGGGGGTCGTAGCTTTCAACGTGGGCGAGCTATTTTTCCTAAAAAGAAAGAAAAAAAAATTTCGGAAGGAATAGTTTCGCAGATAATACTAAGTACAATGTTTTTAAGCTTATTTTTCCGAACACAGTAAAAAGGTCTATCATTTAGAGGGAAAAAAAGCGCTATCTTTATTTCTTACTTCACTTTCGTAAACTGTGGGTGGGCGAAAATGTTCGATTTTTTCCGATTCCTAATAGCGGTCAGGAGTAATCTTTTTTCACAATTTACTCCCCCCTTTCCTTTACCTGAGTGGAGAAAATAGAAGGGTGAATATACCGCAACATTTTTACAGATTAGTTTCTTTAAAGTTCCTTTCAGCGGTCCCATTAAGGATGAGATAACTCATCCTCCACATCCTGTGACTTTCAAACCTCTTTTGAATAAGCTGAGCAGAAGAAAGAAAAAAAATCTCGTCTTGTTCAGGTTCTATTTGAAAACCACCATTTCGAAAAATCGAAGCAAAAATCAGGTTTTAAATTCCAAAAAGAGAACACATGAAGTATGTTTTACAATGTGCAGAAAGTGATATTTAGGTATTATTCCCTGTTTTAATGGTTTCCTGTCAAATTGATTTTGAAATTCTTAACATCCACTGTCAAAATTAAGTGGTCAACTATTTAACATTACCAAATTGGTTTAGGGTAAAAAGTGGTGTTATAATTGATAATCTTTCATTATGTATTGTAAACTCATGACAGACATACAAGGTATCCCGTAATGATAGATACCCTGCATAAGAGTTCTATCAAGTGGAGACCACCCTATATATTTTTAGAATCCTTGTTAGAATTACAGCCAACAAATATGCACTTTGGAAGTCTCAAATCAATAGTATTTAAACAATTTAGAAAAGGAAAAAAAAAAGAAGAAAAACACTGTCGAAATTTAACGAAATATTAACCAGGAAAGTAAGACTAAAATTTGGAAACTGATCAGTATTTGAGAAAGAACGGCGCTAAGAAATTGTAAGAATTATTAATGACCACCCCATTTACCAGTCATTTTTATGGTACACGACTGCATAAAATTAATTTTGAAATAGTGAAGTAACTAAGTTATATTTAATCAAATAAACAAAAAATGAAGAAAATTAAGATAGTTTCACACAGTAACCGATTTCTTAAAATTTGTCAGCAAACGATTGCAATTACATAACATAACATAAGTAAAAACTCCTTTTTCTTTCCAAAAATGCTTGAGTTTTTTTTTTTTTTAATTTCTTTAAAATTTGTATGTAAACTAACTTTACAATTCAATAAAACGCAAAGGAATATATTATAAATGAAATTAGAATTTTTTCTCATAAGAAAATTCCCCCAATTCGTGATTTCTTCTTTAGACATACGGTGATGGTCTGGGGAGGTTTTGCGTAGGATGGTAAAAGCAACCTGCCTCGAATTGTTAAAAAAAGGACTCTAGTTGTTATCAACAACTATTTTAGTAACACCTTATATCCTTTGGTTCACATCTTATTTTCCGGAGACTCAGACTGGAAATTTCGAAAAGCCCAAGCGCTATGCCATGCGTCGACCCACTCAACTAAAAATTGGTTTCAGGAGGGGGAAAAATCGAAATCCTAAGCTGGACAAGTTATAATCCCGATCTTAATCCCACAGAAAACTTATGGCAGTATAATTCTGTATTCGACATGGAAGTACACCCTTGTGCAAATTAATTGAAACAAACTTTTTTTTCGTGTTTTTTAAAGAAGATGTTTTCGGGTTGTTTTGGTTACAATGGGGTTGGACCTTTGCAGCCTATTGACGGTATGATGCGTTCTGAGCAGTACATTATTATTCTGGGTAAAAAAGTTGTTCCAGAGTTGAAGAAACGATACCCTGATGGAACAGGGATTTTTCAACAGGATTTAACTCCTTGCCATACGTCCAAAATTGTCAAGAAATTCATCTCTTAGAATCAAATTGAGACATTGGAATGGCCAGGGAACTCTCCGGATATCAATCCATTTGAGAATCTCTGGGCCATATGCAAGAATCGCCTATTAAATATAGACTGTACAACTATGGAGAAGCTAATCATGGCGTTAATTCCTGTGTGGTACAAGGACACAAATATTATAAATGACTGTAAAAAATTAGTGGAATCCATGCCGAATCGTGTCCAAATGTTAATAAAGTGTCGTAAAGATCATATTATGTACTAAAAATTTTTTAGTTTGTATAAATTTAAATAAAATAGCATTTTCTCTTAGTTTTCTGAATTTATTGAGTTTGTTTCAATTAATTTGCACAAGGGTGTAGCTAACATGGATGAAAAGGACAAAATTCCTAAGACTTTGATTGAAAACTTGATTAAATAGATGAAAACTAGAGACTGAAGTTGTCCACAAAAATGGTGGATGAACATACTTTTAGTTTTGTAAAAAAGTTCATTTTGACTGGTGATCATATAATTGTGTGAGAGAAATTTATGGGGAAAATTTATGATATTGTTAGCAAAATATTCATTTTTAAATGTAATTCTTAAAAATTACATGCCTGCATTTTATTTTTTATTTATTTTCATTAACTTATAGCTTAATTTAAATTTAGAAAATTAAAATTTATATTACTTATAACAAAAGGCGCAAGTTTTATTACATACTATATATATGTAGTTTTTCAGGAAATAAATACTATCAATAAAATATTCTTCATAATGTTTATTTATTAATAAAATAATTTTAAAATGTTCTGATAATTTACAAGTTGAGTTTTCATAGGTTAACAAATCTGATTCATTTTTTCTATTCAACTAAATCTTATCGACATCCACAGCTATTTGCAATCATATCAGGAAAGGTGGAAATGTAAATGCTATCATCTGAGTCATCGTACAACAAAAGTGCCGTAGGCTTTGTAGCAACAGGTACACAGCTAGCAGAAGTGTTTCGATTATTTCGAATTGAAACAAGCGTTTGCACAATAGCATGTTCCGTTGAATTTACTTTCATGGGAAACCCACAGATTCCAGTACAGGCACGAGCATTTACCCGAGATGGTGCTACTATAAATGAACTCCATCCGATGCTATGAAAAGAAACAAACCAATCCATAAGACGACAGGGGTGCATCGAATTATCAACAGGATAGAGATTAGGGCGATGGAATGCCCTCAACATTGAAGATTGTTCGGCAATTTTTACAACTCTTCGCGATTGCAAGTTTACCTCCCTATAGGAGGATTGACAATCTTCATTGTCCTCATGGGTAACAAGGAAGGCTTTGATATTTCTAAAAGTAAACTCGTCTTCATCCTGGTCAATTGGAGGAGGCTTATTGTCGACTGGAAATCGCAAGAACCGAAATCGAAGTCGGATAAAGTTTCTGTTCGACTTCTTCTTTTCTTGGTAGATGCTTGTAATGTTGAAGAATAATTCTGCCACGTTTCCACTTGCATACTTCTCACTGGATATGATGAATCGAGTTTCAGTTTTGTGATCCAAGGAGTGCAATTCGATACCGTAATCATAGTTGAGAACTCGCGAGAAGTTCGAGGTCTTGTAGAATTCCAGTAGCAATTGGGCTTCTAACACTGGACTCATCCGACGAGGCATTCGAACTTTATAGATAAACCATTGGAATGTCTTTGTTTTAACTGAAATGCAAAGGAGATTGTTACAAAACATCAAAGAATTTCATTCCTAAATAAGTTTTAAAATATAAAAGCATACAGAGAAAAGAATTGTAATGGCTGCTTTAGGCTTCACCTCTTTGCAATGCTGTCAATAAGTTGTAACAGAACAAAGTTGATGATTAGGACGTTGTGTTACCTGCTTTAGTATTTTCAAACCCCATTTGTAGCAGTGGGAAATCAGGGGATAGAGAGCTCGTCTCCCAATGAGGTGACCCGGGTTCGAATCCCAGTGATGACTGGTTGATAAGATAACCCGGCCACAGTGCTAACGAAAACTATCCTCAGTGGTAGATGGACCGGAGGAGCTTTTCATGTTTTCACTCTCCATGTAACGCAAATGTTGATTTGTGCCCTCAAAAAGTGCTCCGTGAAGGCAAATTTCTTCAAATACTTAATCCAGGAGTTCCCTTGTCTTTTGGATTGGGTTCTATATTAAAAGGCTACGGAGTTGAACATTAGTAGTCGTAAACTGAAAATTGAGTCTGCTGCTCAATGACGGTTTAAAAACGAATCATTTGTAATTTTTCGAATCCTGATTGTGTGTACACCCTTGTGCAAATTAATTGAAACAAACTTTTTTTTCGTGTTTTTTAAAGAAGATGTTTTGGGGTTGTTTCGGTTACAATGGGGTTGGACCTTTGCAGCCTATTGACGGTATGATGCGTTCTGAGCAGTACATTACTATTCTGGGTAAAAAAGTTGTTCCAGAGTTGAAGAAACGATACCCTGATGGAACAGGGATTTTTCAACAGGATTTAGCTCCTTGCCATACGTCCAAAATTGTCAAGAAATTCATGTCATAGAATCAAATTGAGACATTGGAATGGCCAGGGAACTCTCCGGATATCAATCCAATTGAGAATCTCTGGGCCATATGCAAGAATCGCCTATTAAATATAGACTGTACAACTATGGAGAAGCTAATCACGGCGTTAATTCATGTGTGGTACAAGGACACAAATATTATAAATGACTGTAAAAAATTAGTGGAATCCATGCCGAATCGTGTCCAAATGTTAATAAAGTGTCGTGAAGATCATATTATGTACTAAAAATTTTTGAGTTCGTATAAATTTAAATAAAATAGCATTTTCTCTCAGATTTCTGAATTTATTGAGTTTGTTTCAATTAATTTGCACAAGGGTGTAAGTGCTGTAAATTGCTAAATGAATCCCCAATAGTGCCTTGAGACCTACCTAATTTCGATCAATGGTTATCGGCTTGCCTGGGAAGTTAAGAGGACAGCGTACTACGGGAGAAACTTTTCTTTGCATATTCTCTTTCCCCTCCGTAACCTAATTTAAAATTTTAAGTACAGAAAAAGTGAGTTCAAGCAAACCTGGAGTAAACTAAGAAGTTTCAAATACTGAAAAGAAATTTTTAATATATAGAAATAAAAATAAATTATGAGAACTTAGGATTACGCAATGGAGAAGTTCTCTTCCAATAATTTGTTTGCATTCTCATATTTTGAAACTTTTTTTTTCAGCAATTGGAAACTTCGTGGCCTATTCTAGGTTTGCCTAAACTCGCTTTTTCTTTCTTTTAAATTTGTCATAGAGGTGAAAGAGAATTAGAGACGAAAAGTTTCTCCCGTGGTATGGTTAAAGAATATAGAGGGAAGAGAATATAGAATATACCTCTATATTCTTTGGTATGGTCCTCTATGGTCCTTCAACGAACTATTTAGAGAAGGTTTCACTTTTTTTTTTTATCTAATATTATAATTACTATTATATTTGTTGGCAGCTGTTCTACTTTATCAGCGTGCCTTTAAAATGCTGTGTGTTTGAGATGTATTTATTAATCTAATTCCTGGTATATAAATAATTAAAATTTCGAAACAATATTTTTTGTCCCTTGAAGTATCTTTTAAGGCTTTTAAGAGAACTCTGTCAGAACTTTTTAGTGTTATCTTTGTTTTGCGAAGAGAATAATATAATAATCTCATGCATAAAAGGAATTTTACTACATACTGGTAAATTCTACCCTTTAACTGACTTTTTTAACCATAAAATTGCTTCAATATTTCCGAAACTTACACTTGACTTTTTAGCATACGCCTTATGCAATCATTATTATGCTTCGAATTTTAATTACTTGGCATAGAAGTTTGGTATAAAAACGCTCAAGGCCATGCAAGTTGTTCTAAACAGAGGCTATGTTAGAAAACAGATTAAAATTCTTTCCATCACTTCTAAAAATTCCAAAAAGTTCAAATGCCAAACAGATTAACCCTCATGGGGAAGGTTAAAAATGACGGCGCGGGCGTTTGCTATTAGGACGACCAAACCACCTCCCTTGCATCACCTGCTCCTTTTCAATTCTCTTGTTTCGTCAAATATGCAAGAAAAAAAAATTTCTGCTCTTCTGCGTAAGAAATTACAGTATCAGGCACAGACCACTTAACGGACAGAAGAAAAAAAAAAGTATTCCACTGGAGTTTATTATAGTGTTCGAAATGATGGTACTCTGTTATTTAGGAATAGATGGAATATTTTTGAAGCAACAACTAGAACAACCGGTGGCAATATATATATAGATATATATATCTGTGTGTGTATAGAATAGCTTTTTTTTTATCATTATTAGACATACCAAGTATTATCCAGTCCCGTTGCTTTATTATCCAAAAAACACGGGGGTGGATAGTCGAAACATTTCGAATTTGGTGATGGGAATGCTGACTAATTCAACAACAGCTAATGGAACCTTAATGTCTTGATATTTATATTCAGCGTCATGGGAGGAAAAAAAAACTTTTTATTTGCTGTACTTAATATACTTCTCAGTTAATGAGAATAAAAATTATATTTCTTAGAGTTAAATTACGAAGAAAAAAAATCTGCAAGAAATTTCTATTCATGATATTTAAGTATGTGTTGAAAGATTTTGTGGTTTTATCCTATCTAATTTTGCACTATTTCAAACGATTTTTCACAAAAAAATAAATAAAATGATTATACAGCATATGAAAGAGGCTTAAGTAAATCCAAAAAAAAAGTTCTGAATTTGTTTTTTTGAGCTTTTTGACGACGAAAATAAAATAATAACTTTAAAAAACGAAAATTAAAGAAAAAAAAAGTAGTGTATCTCCAAATTTCACTTAAACATTATCGTCGATCACGTGAACATTATCGTTTTATCGATTGAATTAAATTTGTTGTAATAATTACAATAATAAAAACAATAAAGTGAGTAAAAATCACGAGGGTAACCCGATGTACATCCGTTTACAAGAAAGTAAATATACAGGGGGCAAAACGAAATGGATATGTAGAATAATTTATTTAAAAAGTAAGTATGATCAACAACCGAATCTTTTTATTTGGAAACAATTTGATTCAGAAAAATTATTTTAACACCTATAAAATCAATAGAATTTGTGACGATGTAAAAAAAAAGAGAAACTTTCAACGTTTAAAATAATGTAAAAATTATAGAATAGAATGTTTGCGTTTTTAAAATAAAAGATAGCTTACTTTTGTAGTTTCCCTAGTAATAAATATCTTTTTTTTTCTGCTTTCTCATTTGTTCTTTGATAAAAAAGGAAAAGCATCTCAGTAATTTTTTTTTAAATATATTCTTTAAATTTTTACTATTTTTTAACGATTTGCTCTTACATACAGTGAGTCCGAAATAAATAAGGCCACCTTGATCTTCTGCCATAAATGGAAGCGAATAACAGTAATGAGATCCATACATATAAATTAAGAAAGTCTGTATCTATAAGCACATACTTACAAGGAGTAACAAACTCTCTGCACCGTCTGTACAAGAAAAAGAAAGAAAAAAGATGGAGAAAAGTGCCCAATTGAAATAAAGCCACATATATTGCTAATATATCCGTCATGTTTATATATGACTTGAAATATATGATGTTGCGTACCATGTCCTAGAGGACATTAGCATCAGTATTGTCCCAGGTTTCAATGATAACAGCCTTTAATTCTGCCACAGACTGAAACTGTGACTTTTCGGTACATCCAGTCTCATTGAGGATAGCCCTCACGTTTTCTTGTGGTCAGGTTAAAAAGGCAAGTCACCCTTCAATGCAAAAACCAACTCTGTGAAGTTTTTGCAATATAAATGGACGTATTGTCCTGATGGAAAATCCGACTTAGGCCACAAATTTTCTCTACCAATTACTAGAATTGGTAGAGCCACCACAATCCTAGAAAATGCTTTTTTTTTTAATCTAGAGTTTTTTTAATTTTTTTATAATTTCTAGAATTTCTTAACTGTCGGTATTTACCATGCAGCCTAAAGAAGAGGCTAGGATATGTTTACTACCATATCTAAAGCCTTCCCATACAATAAATGAGCTTTCACCTTGCTGTATTATGGAGAAGAAATCTTCATAGCGTTGATTTCTTATGCCGTTGTAGAAGCATCTTATTTATTAGGGCATCTTATTTCTTTTATTTTCTACTCTCCTTCGCATGCGGAGAGCTCTCAACATGGGCTACTGCTAATTTTTTTTTCAATCGCAAATATATCAATCGCAATTTTCAATCGCAAATAATCTTGCAGAATATATAAAATGAAATGAAATAGCATATGATGAAAAAAAGCGAGAAATTGGCAGTAATGAAAAGGCTTATAATTGCTGTTGTGCAAGTATCTACGAATTTTTACTTTCTATCAATCATTTTGATTTCTTGCTTACTGAATAAGCTGCTAGCAATTTCAGTATTTTCTATTTCATTGTAAATAACGGAGAATATTAAGAATAATTATAAGTTAGAAATAAATTATAAGTTAGAAATAAAAACTTTTTTTTGGATATTTTTTAAATAAATTCTATAGCATTTATTTAATTTATTTATTTTTTTTTTTTACAAAATTGTTACTGGAAATAAAAATTTAAACTGAAGGCTAAGTTGCTGGGAAATTAAGTAATGAATTGATTAATAGAGAGTAAATTCGAACGGTAAAAAAAATTTGCTTTGAATGAAGACAAATTCAAATATTTTAATGCTCATGTGGTCAGTCGATAATTTCATTATATGCTTAGGCATAAAATTTCCAAACTATATTTTGCAAAAAAAAAAATTTCAAAAAAAAATTTCACATTTAATGATTAAATCAATAATTGATAAGTTTCATGAGAAAATAAAGTTTTATATTGCCTTTTCCTCCTTGAGCTTTTTTTTGAATTTGTGTATATTACCGGTAAAGTATGAAGCGCAGGCAATCGAGAGAATGCCTAAGCATTGTATATAATGCCGGATGTTTTTAGGCATGGTATAACATCTGAGAAGTATTACATACTTTCCCTAAGCATTCTATAGAATGACAAATGCTATTTGGGCAAAGTATGAAAAAACCGTCCTGATGAGGTTATTTGTCAGTGATGTGCATTTCTCAAAAATGAAAATGTTATTCTGAAAAAATAATGAGAGTGCCATTAAAAAAATTTATTCAAAATGCTTGAAGAAAAATGAAAGTTTTACAAAACATAATTTATGCCTTTCTTATTAAGGGAAACAAAATTTTCATATAAAAAATTATTCATTGCATTTTTTACGCCAATACAGTTCATATTTTAGTACAATGCCTAGGCATTATATAAAATGCCGGATTTCAAACTTTGCTGGTAGCATATATGAGCAATTCTACAAATAAACGCCACTTAGAAGGCCAAAAAAAAATTAAAACATTTTTGGGGGGGGCACACTATTTCTACATGAATTTTCTTCTTTTTTACACCCTACAAAGGCAAGAAAAAATCGTGAACATGAAATTTTTTCTTTGTGACATACTTTAAATGTGACAGACTCTTTCTGACATACTCAGATAAATCTGAGTCATTTTTTCAGATAAAACGATTTTTACGTAAATATAATGTTATTATAATGTCTCTCTAACATGCATTTATAGAGATTTCGCACTATAAGATTATATTTTAGCATAAAAAACAAAAATGAAAAAAATTAATCACAGTTCCTAAATTGAAAAAATCGGGAAAAATTTTAAATTGGTATTTTGTCATTTAAAGTATGCCACAAAGAAAAAATTTCATGTTTAATATCTTTTCTTGCTTTTTTAGGGTGTAAAAAAGAAGAAATTTCATGTAGAAATAGCGTGTCCCCCCCCCAAAAAAAAAATATTTTTTTATTTTTGTTTGGCCGCCTAATTTGCGTTTATTTGTAGAATTGCTCATATCCTCGCTTTGAAACTAAATCGTAGTAACTCAAAAAAAATCGAAAAATGAGATATTTGGNAATTGATTAATTGAGAGTAGATTCGAACGGTAGAAAAATTTGCTTTGTATGAAGACAAATTCAAATATTTTAATACTCATGTAGTCAGTCGATAATTTCATTATATGCTTAGGCATAAAATTTCCAAACTATATTTTACAAATTTTTGTTTTAAAAAAAAATTTCGCATTTAATGATTAAATCAATAATTGATAAGTTTCATGAGAAAATAAAGTTTTATATTGCCTTTTTCTCCTTGAGCTTTTTTTTTTAATATGTATATATTACCGGCAAAGTATGAAACGCCGGCATTCTATGGAATGCCTAGGCATTGTATATAATGCCTGATGTTTTTAGGCAAGGTATGAAATCTGAGAAGTATTACATACTTTCCCTAGGCATTGTATATAATACCTAGGCATTCTATAGAATGGCAAATGCTATTTGGGCAAAGTATGAAAAAACCGTTCTGATGAGGTTTTTTGTAAATAATGTGCATTTCTCAAAAATAAAAATGTTATTCTGAAAAACTAATAAGAGTGCCATTAAAAAAAATTTATTCAAAATACGTGAAGAAAAATGAAAGTTGAACAAAACATAATTTATGCCTTTCTTATTAAGGGAAACAAAATGTTTATATAAAAAATTATTCATTACATTTTTTACGCCAATACAGTTCACATTTTAGCACTTAGTTTTACACATACCTTTGACGAATCCTTGGCGAATCGGAGATGTATTTTATACTTTGCCGGTTTTTCATTTGGCATTCTATAGAATGCCTAGGAAATGTGTGAAATATAAATCGTTTCATACATTGCCAGCTAGTTTAGGCATTATATAAAATGCCTAGGCATTCTATGAAATGCCGGATATCAAACTTTGCCGGTAACATATATATTTCACCCATGAAATATCATATTTTTAATGCTACAAACTATTAAATTCTAACTTAAAATAACATAAATTTCATGGTTATTTTGTTGTTACAAGTTTAGTAAAATAAGTTTTAATTTTAACTTAAATTTCAAAATTTGCTAGCAAATATTTTGTGATTCAAATTTATTAGTAGAGATGTATTCTTAAAATCTGTAAAAAAATACCTGTTGAGTTGGAAAAAACAAAAAAGTGTTTCTTTATTATATCTCGTACGACAAAACTTATAAACCTAATTTATATTATCGTATTTATTTAAGAATTTTAAAGTTGTAACGTTCAAAATATGACATTTAACATACATAATATATGACATAAAAATATGAGATAATAATATATGACCTAGTATAACTAGCATTTGTAAGAATGACGTTTTTAAATTTAAAAATAGAATTAACCTAGCTCATAGAGTATGCACGTCACGTTTTATAAAACATGTATATATGAAAATTGAACCTTAAACTATTGAAGAATAAACCCGATTTTTAAATTAAAACGTATAAAAATAGATTTTGAAATAAATAATTATAGAAATTTTCTTACTTACTGGTAGCCTGTGTGCTACGTAAAATACGATCCACACATTTTGTTTTCTCTGACCACTCAGTATAAAGCCGCTTAATAGATATGGGTATACTTTTCAATAAAGTTTCTCTTTTCGGATCATAAAAATCGTCGTCAAAATCAAAAACACAAGTTGAAAGTGTAAACAAAGTCAAAAATATTAAATACCGCATTTTTTGCATTTTACAATGATAAAAAGATTTTTTTTAAAAATAAATGAGCTATGTACTTAAAATTCTAAAGTTACACAGTCAGTGAAAAATGATAATTTTCGGAGAGAATAAAAGAGCTAAAAATTAATGACAGAAACATACATCTCACATTCGTCCAGATTCTTCTAAAACCGGAAGCGGAAATTGTCAAATGCTAGATTTTCTGCGTTGTTTTAAATGAAAATCTTCCTTGATGAGTGATACAAAGACTTTATTGACAAGCATTAGGTATTAGTACTTCAATTATGTCGTTCTAGAGCTGCTCTTTAAGCTATTGACGACGATCTGGGAAGCATCCCTAAGTATGATCCGAAGACATGCAATCACAATTTTGATCGTCTGCAGAGGGGATGGCTCTCCTGCTTTGGTAGCCCGACGACCTGAGAGCAAAGTCAAGTTCTTTACGGTATAACAGATTAACGTGAACCGCTCAAGGACCATAACCAGTGATGCTTTAGACAACATTTTCACACAATTGATAACATTTTATTACAAATGATGTTGATAGGTTAAACTAGAAAGTTTCACCTGATGCGGCAGTAGTAAATTCCCACATAGTTGTTAATTTGTTTATCTTATGGGGTTTCCTTAGCCAAAGTTGTCTCGTTGTTCCGCCAGACACTCTGCAGTGTGAGGGGTAACGGGTTCGAGTCTTTGTGATGTCCTTCTCTAACTTGTTTTGTCAGATCATCCTCAGGGATGTTTTCCAGACCGTCGCCAATAGCCCATTGTGCAGCTCTAGTGTGACATAAATAAAGTACCCACCTACCTATTTAACTTATTCTATCTGGGTTTTTTTAAAACTTGAATTGTTTTTTATCCGTCCTTTGTAATGGGCGCACAAGTATGCCTTTGCATGTATAACATTAGATAAACAAATAAAGTTCTATGCTTGTCAGCATTGTTTTTGTTAGACTAACAAAATAGGTAGGCTAATAATGAAAAAAATAATTCTTTTTTAAGATGGAAAATGTTTTTAGATTTAAACACAAATTACAAAATATTTTTTTGAATCTTTTGTATTTTCAAAACCTACTGAAGTAAGAGTAGAGTATTGTTTGTTGTGAGGAAAGTATGTTTTTTTGCTATAGCATCTGAGATAAAACACACTATAGTCACGGTAAGAAAAGTTTAGGAGGTTGAGAGTCTACATACAGCGGGGCAAGAGTTAATATCAACAAGCGGTTTGTACAACTGGAGGATGGGAGGGTTAGCGTGTTCGAACCCTATCGTAACCTCGTAAGTCCTATCATTCTGTAATATGTTTTATTTGTTCTTAAATTTAACAACTGCTTATAAGTAATTCTTTGAGTTGAGCACAAGAGCTTATGTGTGAACATTGCCTATGTGTAGCGACAAATAAATGTAAGTTCGGGAAGGGATATCATGAGCGAGGAATAGTTCATCCGCAAGTCGCCTCGATTCCCTTAGATCAGTGTTTCCCGAAGTGTGGTACGCGTACCCCCAGGAGTACGGGAACAGTTTAACGGGAGTACGCTTTCTTATGCGAAATATCTTACAACAAACGAAAATTTCAAAGAATTTCATTTAAAAACAAAGCTAGCCATGAAAATTTACGATTGCGTATTTTTCTATTGGCTATTTTTTGCACAGTTAACAGTTAATAATTATTGATGTCAACAGCTAGTTAGCATTTATTAGTGATACACGGCGTCACTAAAAATTTAGAAAGGGTACACAAAAGTCATAAGTTTTGGAAACACTGCCTTAGATATTGAACCAAGTGTATTTTAACGATTAACAGAGAAACAAGGATTTAAAACAGCAAGTTGGATAGTGGATAAGATCAACAGATAAGGACCCATTGTCGTCAGGCTAACTATAGAAAGTTTTTGTAGCTCTACATTCATGTGAATCCCGCAGTGGACTGATCGTTAAGGTACGGTTCCTAGCAGATCACCGAAGTCAAGCATCACCGGCTGCGGTCAGCGTGCGGGTGGGTGACCATTTGGATCAGTCTGCATAGGGACCAAGGGCGCGCGGTATTGGCAGGGCCGTAACTACGCCGGGGCAGCAGGGGCACCGCCCCGGGGCCCCGACGGTCAAGGGGGCCCCATATGAAGAGATCACATCAGGTTGTTTTTTTTAATAAAGTACTCTAATTATATAAATGTAGGAAAGAAATTGTGTTAAGATAGAGTTGACGAAAAGTTTCTTTTCCTAAAGGGAAGGGTAAAAAACGGTAAAACACCTTTTTGCGTATTATTTCCCTTTCTCAAAAGAACAAACACGCTTTGCAGAGAAGGGGAAAGGCCACAGTTGCATGTAGTTGAATGTTAACACTTTCTGTATATTGCACTTCTGGTTTACTTAGTTGTTTCCTTTACTATCTTGCGTCAGATCCAGGGGCGTGCCAACCAGGGGGAGGCAGAGGGCCCCTCTAAAATTTAAGTGATGGGGTAAACGATGCGTTTCGTCCCTCTTGAAATTTAGACACTCACAAAAATAAAGTAAAATCGGTAATTTAAAAATTTTTTTTATTCAATTTTGAAGCTATTTTTGAAACAGAAAACTTTATATTCCTCTAACATTTATGTGCTTTGCCTCTTTTGATATTTAGTAATTCGCCAAGACGAAGTCTAGTAAAATAGGTAATTTTAGAGAAGAAAAAAAAAGCTATTCTTCCTCAGTTTGGAAGATATACATAAAGTAGGAAACTTTATTTTGTTATGGGCGATTAATGTGTTTTTTGACTTTTGGAAAAGTAAAGTAAAAGTGGAAAAAAATATTTTATTTCCAATTTTCACTCTATTTTCTTCCGAAATAGTAATGAGGGGGCGAACATAGTGCTTTGCCCCTTCTGAAATTTCAAAGTGCTCAAAAATAATAGATATTGGTAACTAAAAAAAATGTCATCTTTGAATCTGTTTTCCAAATAGAAAACTTTATATTCTTCTGAAATAAAAGTGGGGGGGGTGGAGAATTTGCTTCTCATCTTCTGAAATTTAGCTAGCTTTTATTTTGTCCAATTTTTGAAATAAACATTTTAGTTTAATTAAGAGTTATTAGAATTATTTGCAATTTCCTCTTTTTTAAACATAAATCGTGATATCAATAATTCTCATTCTTAATAAAATTTTTCGTTGGAAAACAAGAAAACCAAATGTAAATTTATTTATAAGGAGATAAGTAAATGTTTGCATTAACTCATTTAAATTTTATATTTAAATACTGTTAGAATTCTTTTATAAGAATGGTAACATAAAAAATGCTTTTTCTTATGTTCGTATATAAAATTTAAAATTGTATAGTACTTTAATTGATAATTTTACTGTTTATTGTGTGCATGGATTTGGTTCTTATTAATATTTCTTAAATTATTAAGACCTTTAAATTTTTTAAATTGGAACTTTGAATTTTTAGGGTTTTTAACAACTTTGTTTTCATTAAAAAATGAAATGCAATCTTTATTTTTTATGAAAAAATCATTTAATTTAATAAAAGAATGCATTTAATTTAATAAAAAAGCTATGAACATCAGCTTAGAAATCCGTAGCAATTAAAATTCATTGCCATGACAAACCATTAAAAGGAATTTTTTTAAAATTAGCAAATATGCTTTAATTTTTTCTCACTTTTCTCTCATAAAAAAAACTATTACTCTTTGTCATAATTCTCTCACATATGATTACATAGCGTCATGAATACATAGGCCAAATATTCAAGAACGAATTCTTTTCAAAATATAGCTATATTTTCTAGGGACCTGTCCATATTGGAGTAAAGCAACTTGGTTTTTGTTAATCGATGTATATGGGGAAAAAAATTCTGAATATTTTTTCAATTAGGACTTTTTAAAAAGTGGGTATATGTGCCGATAGAAAAAAAGATCTATAATTTCCTTCAGTTTCCATAACGCGATCAAAAACTTTTAGATTTGAAACTAAAAAATAATTTTCATTTTTATAATGGTTTTGTCTTGAAAAGATCTTCCTAACGATATAGTAACCGGATTCAACAGGTTTATAAAATTGGTATTTTATGATTATCATTATATTTAGAGGAAAAGGAGACTTCTGTGGACATGGGGGACAAGAGTAGACAACATGAATAGCTTTTTCCCCCCTAGTCACCTCGGTGAGATGTCATAAATTGGTGACATTTACGTACAGTGAGCCAAAAAAGTACCACCCTGAATAACTTTTGATTTAATAATCGGATCTTCACATTCTAGGACTCCATCTTAATAATTCGAGGGTATGACTTCAAATATGCAAATTAATTAGTGCACAATATTTTAGTTTAAGTTACGTAATCAGGCACAAAAACATACTTTCTCTGAATAAACATAACTTTTGTTCAACAGATTCGATTTTCTAATCCCCGCAATATAGGAGGTATCTGTAATCTGGGAAATATGGTCCTAATAGTTGGGACGGGTGAGCTATCCAAAGTTTGGATCCCCAAATGTTAATTTTTTTTTTATTTCACTACAGATCGAGAGCTTTTTAAGGGAATTGAAAAAATTTTGCACACGATTATAAAATTCTTTTATCTAAACATAATTCCATGCAAAAAATAACTTTTAGTAAATATTTATTATTTAATAATAGTCGGATGTTGATCATTTACGTTGCACTAGTGCTGCACAATAGGCTATTGGCGACGGTGTGGGAAACATCCCTTGAGGTTTAATCCTCTGTAGAGAGGATGGCACCCCCGCTGCACGTGAAGTCGGTAGCCCGGCGACCCGCACGTGAAGTCGAGCACTTTATGGTACAACAGTTTAACGGAGACCAATACCGCACACCCTCAGGCCCTACGCAGACTGATCCAAGTGGTCACCCACCCGCACACTGACCGCAGCCAGTGATGCTTGACTTCGGTGATCTACTGGGAACCGTGTCTTAACGATCAGTCCACTTCGGGACAATAATAGTCTGAAAACTTTTGAATCGTATGGCATATAGTTTTTTTTCCATATCATGTGAAAGTATCTAATTCCACATGGAAAATACAAAATTTGAGCGAAATTGGTTGATTAGTTTCTGAGAAATCGAGTGTTATAAGTACGACTTTCTTAAAATTTAATTTCTCAGGATTAATCAATTTCGCTGAAATTTTGTATTTTGCCATATGGAAAA